AAATACAGATCTTATTATATAAATTACAATGTATAAATGAATTTATAGAAAACTGAACAATTTGTATAAAATTAGATGTATCTAGCGAATTATACAAATCAAAAGCTCCATAGCAAACATAATATTTGTTATGGAGCGCAATTATGCAAACTATAGCTATAACATACAAATATGATTTTTATGTTTGGTATATGTGAAAGTTACTCTTTAATATTTCAAACTTTAAATGGACTTTGAGTTTGGATTTTTATTATTTTTAACACTCTATTTTTTTTTATTTTTTTTTATTTAGTCCAAGGATCGGTCCAACCTATATTGCTCAAGCCCCACAGACCAATGGACTTATCCGAACCGGGCTAAAAAACTCTTTTCTTAAATGAGCTTCAAAAATCTTAGTTCAGCCTTGTCAAATTACGAATAAGGTAGAACTGGGCCAACGGAGCTAGCTCATATTGACAGTTCTAAATACAAGTTAATCATACAATATTTTAAGTATATTTATTAATTTGAAAATCAAGTCTTTAAATAAGTGGCTTTATCAGGATCCCTCTAATACGACATGATTAATTTTGGTTTGAAGATTAACAAGTAAGTTTCCCAAGCCAAAACTAGTACAATAAAATGTCCTAGTCTACAACTGACCGATAAGCCAATATACAAAACTCTTAGTATATTATATTTTTATAAAAATATTTAAAAGCTTGACATACAATATTATACCACCAAAGAGATTCAGTAATTAACATAGATCACAGATGTATGACATAATTTACATCATTTAAATAATCATTCTACTATGGTTGACTTTCATCGTTCATCCAAAAATATAGATATGTCAAACCAAGGCTCTAATATCAATTTGTTGGAAAATGAAGAATAACAACAAAAATATTCACACGAAAAATAATGGGGATAAAATAAAAAAATAATAACACCAAGAAATTTATATGAAAATCTTTTAAGAAAAAAATCATGGAAATAATTGATATCATTATAGTAAACAACTTTACACTATGTGGACCTGGATAAAATATTATAAAATTAGTTCAGACTCGGAATAGATAGTCCTCTTTTAATTTCTACCTTGTTAAAATATCTCACACTTAATATATTTTTCTTCACAAGTTATCTTATATAGGCAATAGTATACCTCACTCTACTCTCTAATATTTTTATCTCTATAATGATGTAGAGTTCCTTATTCATCGAGATAAAATGTGCCTATTTTTCACTTTGTATTAATTGACCTGTAGTAAATTTCAATAAAGATATACCAAAAATCTACTGCAAACAGAATAGGAAGACCATCTTCCTTTTAATATATGGGATATAGGGTGGACCCCACAAACGAAACTAGAAAGTTCTTTTAACACAAAATATCTATCGGAAAATACTAACTGTGCTTTCTCCGTTCATTTTTACTTATCACTTATTTCTAAAATAGATTTTTATATTTACTTGTCACTTTAACATATCAAGAAGAGACGATATTTTTTTCAAATATTTTACCCTCAACATTAAATGCTTATTTTTCAAATTATTTCTAAGACAGCATTTAATAGGAAATAATTTGGTAAAATACCTTTATCATTAATTATTTTTTAATTGGTGTGTCAAATCAAACTGTGACAAGTAAAAGTGAACGGAAAGAGTATTTTGCTTCCAATTTTATTTTATATTTTAAAATATAGGTCTAACCCACCAACTTCCCCAACTCCATTTGCATTTCTTAAGAATGAAATTTTATCTTGCCCTATTCTGTTCTGTCTTGCCTCATCACGTTTAACTATTCCTCTACACATCTACGAACCATTACTAAATATCTTATGTACTTGTTTTTTTTTTTATTTGATGTCTGTAGTTTGTATTGGAGCTCCAACTAAAATCGAATAGTGCACTATAGGGAATCACTTGGTGTGACATTTCCAACAAAATTATCTCAATTTGTAAAGTTTTAACTCGAGACCTCTAATTAAAATTAAAAGAATATCATTACTACACCATACCTCATATTAATGTACTTCTCCAATTCTAGTATACAAAAGTGTTCATAACATTTCTTTATGTAATAAAATAAGCAATAACAAAAGAGTGCTTTCTTTTTTATATATTGCAACACGTGCACTAATTTTTTTTCCATCAATTGAGGACGCACTTAAATACCAATTTTTGTCATTATCAATTTTGGAGCAATCTTGAAAAAATATGATATTTAATAGCAATATATGGGACCACTTGAAATATGCAACCGCTTCTTCTCTTTTTATTGATTATTCAATTTCCCTATAAATATTCAACTTCAGTCACTTATTATCAAAAGATGGACATCTCTTGGGTTTTCATAGTGTTTGGCTCATGGCTACTGGCATTAGCTTTTGTCTTAAAAATATTCAACCATTCCAAAAGGAAAGTACCACCAGGTCCAAGGCCATGGCCAATTATTGGCAATTTGAACCTCCTTGGTTCATTCCCACATGTATCTTTGCACCATCTTTCACAAAAATATGGAGATTTAATGCTACTAAAGTTTGGTTCGAAGCCTGTTTTGATAGCATCATCTCCAGAAATGGCTAAAGAGATATTGAAAACACATGATACTATCTTTGCTTCTCGTCCTCCATTAGCTGCCGGTAAGTACATTAGCTATAACTATTCAGACATGACATGGGCATCTTACGGTGCACACTGGCGTCAAACTAGAAAAATATGTCTAACCGAACTACTTAATCCTAGAACACTTAATTCATTAGAGTATATTCGTGTTGAGGAAAGACGAACTTTGATTTCTCGTCTTTTTGCTCTCTCAGGAAAACCAATTTTGCTTAAAGATCATTTAACTCTATTTACTCTTCGCACTATAAATAGGTTGGTTATGAGTGAAACATATTGTAGTGATCAGTCAAACTCAGCTGCTTCAATAGTAACTTATGAAAGATTGCAATGGATGTTTGATGAGTGGTTTGTTCTTAGTGGGGTTATTAATCTTGGGGATTGGATACCTTGGCTTAGTTGGTTCGACTTGCAAGGATACGTAAAACGAATGAAGGCATTAGGAAAGAATATGACAGAATTTTATGAATATGTACTTGAAGATCACAAGGCAAAAAGGCAAACAGAGGAACATTATATTCCAAAGGATATGGTTGATGCTATGTTACACCTTGCTGATGACCCTAATCTTGAAATTAAGCTTACTACAGATAGTATGATGGGATTAATACATGTAAGTTTACTTAATTTCTCTAAAACTAGAATAATATAGATAGACCATTTTCTTAATTTGTCATCAATGTCAGGATATGGTAGGTGGTGGAACAGATACTACAGCAACAACGATAGAGTGGGCATTTCAAGAACTTCTGAGGCGACCAAACATCATCGACAAGGCACACCAAGAACTTGACAGAGCCATTGGAAGAGAACGATGGGTAGAAGAAGAGGATTTCTCTAAGCTACCTTATATAGATGCCATAATTAAAGAGACATTTAGACTTCACCCTTTATGTGCATTGCTTCCTCCCCATTACTCTATTGTGGATTGTAATGTTGCGGGTTATGACATACCAAAAGGGACAACTGCTTTTGTAAACGCGTGGTCTTTAGGAAGAAATCCGAAGTATTGGGATAGGGCAGAAGAGTTCATTCCAGAAAGATTCATAGAAAATAACATAGATATAAAAGGGCAAAATTTCGCGTTGTTGCCATTTAGTTCTGGACGGAGAAGGTGCCCGGGGTATAGCCTTGGTATGAAGGTTGTTCGAACAACAATGGCTAATTTGTTGCATGGGTTCAATTGGAAATTAACAGGAGATACGAAGCCAGAAGATATAAGCATGGAGGAGATTTATGGATTGACTGTACACCCAAAAAAGCCGATATCTTTGATCATGGAACCAAGACTTCTCCTCCATCTTTATTAGTACTTTAATTTGTTCTGTTCTTATCAATCTTGTTCAGTTTAAGCTATATCTAATATTAAAATAAAATTCCATATTTGACAAAGCAACAATTTTTAAATTGATCTTCTTTCACTTCTTGCTTCATCCTAAAATAATAAAATGTTCCAAAGGCATCCACTTATAATATTACTCCATTATACTATAATTTCCTTTGAAGTAGGAGGTAAAATTTGCGTACGCATTACTTTCTTTAGATCCGCCTTATGAAATCATATTGGATTGTTGCTGTTGTATAATTTAAATTCCCGTCTTATCTATTAGAGATAGTTTTATTGATCTTCCTCTTAAGTTTGTTTCTTAATTATAACATTATTTTTTTGTGGTGATTTGAAATATTACACTGGCCTGTCTTGTTTTGATTTTACTAACAAAAGTCAAGTTAGTTATTTTAAATAATATATTTTTATAAATTCCAAGATTGCCCTTTTGCGTCCTCAATCACTAATAAACAGTAAGGTTGTTTGACCAAACTTGTAGGAGTAAATACCAATTCGATTTTTGATGATTCCATCAGCTTGGAACAGAAGTGAACAGAGCTAATTAATCAATAACATTGTTTTACTTTGTGTTTTATAGCAGTTCTTATTTTTTTTATATATAACATTGTTTATTTTTGTTTTCAACAATCTGTCCTAGTATCCTATTTATTAATTATCATACTATTTAGTTGTTGTCTTTGCTTCTTTCTGGTAGACTTTGTGCCGTGTTATTGTTGTTTACTATCTTTCTTCACTTGAGCCGAGAGTCTTTCGGAAACAACTCTCTACCTCCACGAGGTAATGATAAGGATTACATATATTCTATTCTCTTCAGAGATTATTTCCCCTGATTGCAGAACTCAAGTTCAGCCAAGCAATGAACTAAAAGGCACATTTCTAACATAATTATGTTCAGATGACCCAAGCTCTGGAGGGTGGAGCTAATGAGAACTCAAATCCGGAGACCAACCAAGTACTGGTTGCGGGTGAAACACAAGTTGTGCCAGAGGAGTCTATTAGGACTAGGGGTGGTGAAATTTTCGATCAATTGCTAAACACATCATTCACTCAAATCATTATGACATCCGGTCCAATCATGCAATTACACTATCGAAACTACCTAATATGATTACAAGACACTTTAACGGTTGCCACTACAACAATTACCACCGGATGATCTTGCGTCCATGGAGGGAAATGGTTCACTAGCCGCATTTTGGCTGCACAAAAAAAAAACAGAACAACAAAACATTATAAGCAACACCAGTTAAGGGTGCATTAGAATTTGGTGAGTCGTGAGGCTTATGATCTGATAACTCTATTTCCCCTAATGCAGAACTCAAGTTCAGCCAAGCAAGCTCTGGAGGGTGGAGCTAATGAGAACTCGAATCCCAAGATCATCCAAGTACTGGGGTACGGGTGAAACACCAAGTTGTGCCTGAAGAGTCTATTAGGACTACTTCAATGGACTTCAGGATGGAAAATTTGAATTATCCAAAGAATGAGGAACCACAAAATACTCATATTGGACCAGCAGTTGAGTTATCAAGAAATGTTGAATCATCAAATGGAACTAAGGAAGCAAGTGATCCTCCTGGTGACAAACTTGTGTTAGGCTCTCAATTACCACCACAGCAAGAAGAGGCAGAAAGCGGCGATTTTGATTATTCAGCAAAACTTCAAACTCAGAATCGACCCTATTAACTTAACAATGATAATTTACATCAAAACATGCTTAACTTAACACACAAACTCATCAAAAATAATTAACAATGATAATTTACATCAAAACACGCTTAACTTAACACACAAACTCATCAATTTCATAAATTAAAACAAGAAAATGTACCTACATAAAATAGACATATTGGTGTTACTCCCAAGAAAGTTGCATTTTAAGCATGATTCGTTAGTAGTAGTAACATTATTTAACAACCAGCTATTATGATAGCGTCATAAATATCCCATCCATTCTTAAACCAAAGATTTCAAGAAATGTGTTTTTAAGAAAAATGGAATTAAATGCTTAAATTATATCTGATATTACTAACATATTGGAAACTACTCAAATTGTGATTGATTCAACATATGCATGAAACTATATCCATAATTATTTTAGAGAAACACACAAGAACCTTGAGCATTGTCGAACTCACCATCATAATTCCATAAACAATGTATCAACCCTATCAGATTCCAGCTCTTCCTCTATTTCACGAGGAATGGAGAGAAATAGTGATTGAGGATAATATGTGATTGTGATGCCCTGATGGATCAGGAGCTCTTCTTGAAACTCTTCTTGAAACAAGAAGAGAAACTTGTCACGGTTAGGAAACGAAATAGACACCACCCATTAGCAATGGATGGACATTGCAATGTTTTCCTACACCAAAGAATCAGTTGAGTATGGAAGGCTACACTTAAAAAATAAACTTTTTTAAAAGTACCTTCATATTCGCAATGTCTAAGCCCACAGTTCTCATTTTAACATAGTAACAAAAAAAAACTAGCACAATAATTCCCTAGTACAAATCTGGAAGACACAGTGAAACTTGTTAGGCCAGCCTAATAATTCAATAGGTTTTGGTCATGGAACATGGCTAGTTTAGCTACAAGTACCGGGCTGAGTAGTTCTATCCACCAAGACTTGAACAAACAAGAAGAAGATATCACCAAACAGTGTCTTTGGAAGAGTTACAGTAGTAAATGGCTCAAAATCCATTTCCAAAATGTTTCCACGGGTAAAATAAATGAGACACAGATATAAGAATCAAACAAAAAAAAAACTCATTCACAAAGAAAAAAATTGTAGAGTACTATTATCTTCAAATTCATTGACTCAAAACTACCTTTGACAAGCACGAGTCACTGCAAATGAAACCTAGAAGGCTGACAGGCATTGTAAAGACATTTGCGATAAAAGACATTGTAAATGTAAAAGAGGTGACACAAAAGTGTCAAATATCAAAAGGGGGTTTTGTATCAAGTACTAAAACAGCAAAATAAACAAGAAAATCAAGTATGGGGAAAGGTTCTTGGGATGTGACCGCAATACAAGTAGAGATAAATTGTTGAGTACATGCTTTCGATCGGAGATTTGCAAAATAATAGTGACTAGGCTAAGCTTTAAATGGAAATAAGTTCCCTTTCGGGAAACTTACCCCGTTTCAAATGTGTTCCTCTCGGACACCCATTTGCCGCATGAAGACCAGCCTACTCCTTACCCACTCACTCTCTCAAGCTGAGTGTTAGGATATGGGACTAGGGCTCACCCTCTCAGGCTAAACCTCATGTTGACCCACTCATTAGGCCATCAGTCTAGTGGTTTTGGTTTCGCGACCTCCCTCTCAGAAAAGCCGAAAACACATGGGTGGCTTTGTATTTGCAACTACAAACCCTTTAGATTAAACCACAACCACTAGGTGAAATCACCATTAAAATACATCTAACCTATCAGCAAGCAAGACCCAACAAGAATATCAACCTATATTTGCTAAATCACACCCCAAGAATGGGGTTTTTAGCCACACATCAAGAAATAATAAATTAAACCTTGAATTAAGCAAAGGAAAGTGAATAAACAAGACCCACTTCCAACTTGGAGAAGAAGAACTCCTTTCTTCAAGTCTCCACAAAACCCTCTCCAAACTTGAGAGAAAAATATTAGCTAGAATATGTTCTAAAGTGAAAAATAATAACAATATGTTCCACTCCTCCATTCTCTCTTAAGACTACAATTCTAAATAGTATTCATAATTTTCACAGATTGTGCTGCGGATGATTGTTCGGCGACATTAGTCGAGATCACCGATGAACTCAGCGATCCGCCCTTTGGTCAGCTCATCGCCTTCAGTGTCTTGCCTTTAGCATCATCGCATTGTGGATCATTGGGTGGTACAGTATTGCTTCGCGGAACTGATCGACGACTTGCCGATTGCTCCTTTCCTCGCCTTTTGATCCACTTCCTTCAAGGCTTCGCGTACTGGAACAAAGGGCGGTTCATGTCGTTTCGACGACTCGCCAAGTTAAACTCGGCGATCCGCAAGATTCCATTTCTTGTCTTTTCAGCCCTATTTGCTCCGTTTTGCGCCTAAGTGTCCATGCTTCCACTAAAATTTCAACATTTTAATCAAGTATTTAGATAAAAAAGCATTCAAGGACACGAAGCCCCACGAGGCCGGTTGTCCCCTTCCTGCTCCCCTAGGGCCGGCACTCGAAGCCCCTCAAGGCCAACCCTTCCTAGCCGCCCTTGAGAACGACCCTTACGCCCCCTGAGAACAACCCTGCCACCCCTCGAGGCTGGACCCGCCCTTCAAGGACCAGACTGCCCCTTGAGTCCTGCCACGCCCCTGGAGGCCAAAACCTCCCATCGAGCCCGCCCCCAAAGGCCGGCACTGCCTCCTAGAGGCCACCCCCTCTCTTGAGGCCGGCCTAACCCAGAGCTCTGCCCCGCCCCTCGAGGCCGAACCTAACCCTCAAGGTTGGCCCTGTCCCCCAGAGGTTGGTACCCTCATTTGAGGTTGGCCCCAACCCCCTTAGTCGGCCCCTCCCCTAGAGGTCGTCCCCACACACGAGGCCCCGCCCCCAAGGCCTGCTCCGAGGCCCCAGAGGTCGACCCCTCCCTCGAATCCACCTCATTCCCTTGAGGCCCCGCCCCCCTCACTCGTGGCAGCCAGAACCCCCAGAGGACAGTCCTTTTTGATATATACTACAATAATTGCACTATCAGCTCAAATAGCTCAAATTAGATTCTGGTAATGTGATAAACAGCAGAAATATCCATCATTTTGCCGAAACGCACTAAGAGCTTTCTTTATGGAATTGGAATCTATGCTCTATGTTGTCACCAATTCTACAAAATATATGAAGTTCTCATATATACATAAAAGTTAGAGACTTTGCTAGTCCTAGTCCTACTCTTAACCCAATCATTCTTTTCAAGGTGGAGGTGGCAGAAAAAATGCACAATTTATGCCCTTTCATTCTTATTAGCTACTCGAGAGCAAGAAAAGCGCATGGACTTATTAAAAAGTAAAGAAGCACATACCATATCAGCTACTTAGAGATGACAAGTACTCTGCCCCTTGGTCAAACAACACTAAAATTACTCAACCGGAACACAAGCCACTCTTAACAGGTATCATAAAATGTTACCATTAGAATCATCCAAACACCTAAGTGAATCTTACAAGTCCCTCAATTTAGAAATTACAAGTTCTAAAAAACAAAGCACTATTCTCCAAAGTTTTAACCAGAAAAAAAAATGATCACCAATCTCCCATGTGAAATAAATTGGCATCTGATAATGGTTTTTATTCCATTTTGTTTTGTGAATGAGGAACTATGCAACTGTGTTTCTTATGCTCTTTCAATAACCCACAACTAACTGAAAATCAAAACAGTCCATTGGGGAAAGAGAAAAAGTGAAAACTTTTGCTTTCAACCCAGATCACAAAGTGGATATAGAACCAAATTAACAACTAAACAGTACATTTGTACCCTACCATTATCACTGAATCTGTAAAATTCTCAAGCTCACAATGACAATTTTGCCTTGAAAACTAAAACCCCTATTGGGGAAAGAGAGCGAAAAAATTTGCTTTCAACCCCAGATCACAAAGCATTAAGGAACTAAATTTACAACTAAGCAGTACATAAGCATACCCTACTCCATTGTCAGCACTCTTCAAGATTAACAAGCTCACACAGTCAAATCAAAATAGAATTTCGCAACATACTTCTTATGTACTCATGTCTTATTCTAATACTTGTTCAACAAGCTTTTATAGAAATTTGATTAGGCAATCTGGTGCTATAAAAGAATATGACAATTAATAAATAAGTTACAAATCAAATTAGAAGATGAAAGCATATGTTATTGCACTCCTAACATGTGGCTCTGTTGTAGTTTTGGTTTTGTATTGTGGTGACCGAGAGGAATAATGTGCTTGTTTCTGCTCCACATGTTTCAACCCAGATCATAAAGCCATTTAAGAACCAAATTAACAATTAACCAGTACACATACATCATTGTCACTCACAATGTAAATTTTCCCTTGAAAGTTCAAACTCACATCGACCCAGATCACAAAAGGGGTTGGTCGAATGATAACCACCTTCCTCTTCCAACCCTAAGATTGTTGGTTCGAAACTTCGAATCACCAAGAGAGCAAGGAGGATGATGCTAAAAAAAATCCCAGATCACAAAGCTAATAAAGAAACAAGAAATTAACAAGTAATCCAAACATAGCGCATCAGGATTTATATTCTTACCCATTGTTATTGTCAATTTTACCTGTAGATTTCTCTTGTCCATTCTTTCCTACTCTATTTATGTTCATCCGATTGAAGGGTCCTCCCTTAATGTGTGATTTTAGGCCTATGGGTGTGACAGTTTCTTTGAGAAAAGACTGAAATTGTAGTGATGAGAGTGTTGGCTGATGAATCTTGTCGAAATTCGCCATGAAAGAAAATAGAGAATTCAACTATTAGGGTGCGATTGAGGTAATTGGGAGAAGTTTTGGGGGGTGCTATAACGGCTATGATTTTGGAACGTTGTCAAAAAGTGTGGGAGGCTGGGACCCAACAATTTTTCAAAAAAATAATAATTAAAGAATTTCATCTATGGTGCCACTGCGACACCATATATTATTACTAGAGAAAATTGAACAAAAGTGTCTTTTAAGTCCTTATTTAAATTTTGGTGACTATTTTGACCAAAAACAAGTCAAAGACATTTAATTATTAGATTAAGTTAATTAGGACTGAATTAACATTTTCAAAACTTCTAATCTTTTTAAAAATACAAAACAGTCCAAATTTTAAAATACAAAACAATCAAAAATTCTCTCCTCTTTCTTGGGATTCACTTTCTTCAACTTCTCTTCTTCATTGTTCTTCCTCTCTTCCGACTCAAGACCTCAAACGTCTCTTCTCTTCCTTAAATCTGCTTCGTCATTGCTCCCAATCGACTTCCGGCAACTTTTCAATTTTCGGCAACTTCTTCGATTCTAAGCATCAATTTTCTCTCTTCTCAGGTAAAAACTTTTATTTTTGAAAAAATTAGGGCTTTTTAATATTAAAGAAAAAGATGAGCTTGAGTTGTCTTTCCTTTATATATACGCTAGCAATTTTAGAATTTGATGCTTGAAAAAGAAAGACATCCGAAAAAAACCTTAATTTGTTGTTGTTGTTGATCTAGAAAAATCCAAAAAGAAGCGAAATGTGAATTTTTTTTGTTGTTGTTCTCCATCATTGTTGTGTAATAGTAATAGTTATTGTGAATTTTGAATTTTTTTGGAGACATATTTAGTATTTGTATTTCTCAAACAATTGTTGATATATTGACTTGTTGTTGATGTTTGTGTTGTTGTATTGAATCAATTGGTGTTGTTGGTATTCTTGAGTTTGTTGGAAAGAATGAAGAAAAGAACACATAATCAAAACATCATAAATAATTTATTGTCTCCAAGAACAATGCTAAAGTCAATTTTCTAGAGTTCACATGATTTTTACTTT